TTTTTTTGAATTGGTGAAATAAAAAATTTGACAGAACAGCAAAAGCATGTCGAAAAAAAAAAAAAAAACAGGGGGAAAAAAAACAAGTGTTCAGTAATGTTGAACAAAAGGAGGAAGCGGGTTGTTGAATCGAAAAAAATTTGTATAAAATGTTCGTAGAGGAATGAAAAGAAAAGTGTTTTTTTTTTCCCACTAATGCCTATTTGGGCAATTGGATTTTTTTTTCTTTTCTTTTTTTGTTCAGTTAAGGAACTGAGAAGGGGGGGGGGAGGAGGTGGAAAGGGGGGACCATTTGTTTTTGTCGCCATTGTTGTGTTTTGAAGTTGTCGTTTTGTTGGTCATCGACGTTGTCTTTGTTGTTGCTGTTGTTGCTGTTGTTTGTTGCTGCTGATTGGGATTGTTGTTGTTGTTGAAAAAAAGCAAATTTAAAAAAAAAAAAAAGGGAAAAAACAACATTTTATAAAAACCTTAAACAAAGATGTGTTAAAATTTGAGTTACTTAAGGGACAAACAGAATCAGCAAAAAAAAAAAACCTTTCTCTTCTTTTTTTTTTTTTATGTGCACATACGGTTTGATTATTTATTTGGGCTTTTAAAGACGAAGAGGAAAGGTTTAAGAAGAGGAGGGGGGGAAGATGTATGTGGGGTGGCTGACTGATTGGCGTGCTGTTTTATTCATATTGAGCAGTTATGGAGTTAGTAACAACAACATCAAACTATATACATTCGTGTATATTTTTGTTCCCAGACTTATACGAATAACCACCACATAACACACACCGACACACACACACACACACACACAGATACAATACATACACTCAAAAACAGATATGAAATTCAGGGATTGTGGCTTTGCGTGTGCATATTTTTTCTTCAGTTTTTACCAGAAACCATTATCTAAAGCTTAATTATGCTTCTTTTTTTTGCTGGAACATTCTCTTTCAAAGATGAAAAGAAAAAAAAAAACTATTTTATTGCTCCGTGACAATTTTGGTGTTTTTTTTTTTTTAAATAGTCTCTCAAAAATGGCACTTGTTTAATTATAATGTCTGCTTCAGATTCGGATGACTACTTGCCTCACTGTTTCGTGAAAACCGGTAAATCAAAAGAGGTTGGTTTTATTATTGATAAATTGAACAACAATTTTTACATTCACTTCTATTCTTTATCGCGCCTGGTCAATTATATCTCCTCTTTCAAAAAAAAAAAACTTTCTTTTGTATCAAAATAACGAGCAGCAGCAATCCAACTAACTAAAGAATATGGGGGGCTTTTGTTGGTCAATACAATGGAGCAATGCTATTTTAGGAGCTTTATAAATGTACAGTTGCTTTGGTGTATTATTTCCAGCACTGGCTGACAAAAGAAATACATAGTTGTAAAATCTATTCAAGTTGGTTTTGTGACAGTACTATGATGTTTGTTTAGTTTATCGGATGCACGAGCATGAGCGAAGCGTTCCATAGGCTCGACCTAGCTCGAGCTGTAAAAGACGTTAGAAGAATCAATTACATCTGTAAGGTAAGCAGCTGTCAGTCACCATTTCAACTGAACAAACTCTCTGGTTTAACGTTACCTAATTTTGAACAGAACAATGAAGCATTTTGTTAGCATAGAAAAATAAACTTTGCCAACTTTAATCAGATAAGTTTTTGTATGGGCGTTTACAGTTAATTGAAGCTCATTATGGTGTTAATTAACAAAATGTGGTCAAATGGTTCATACAAGTTATGTCATTTTCAGGTTGTTCAAATTCTTGTACAAGATAAGCTGCAAAATCTTAGTGCTACAGCGAGGAAGAATTTGTTAGCAATTATACAGGCAATCGTTGTTCAATGTAGGTTACTTACATCAAAATGTTTTGACCGGTTATCACTATTATCGCCATGAGTAATAATCACAATTTAGGCATTAATTATTGCATAATATGTGTTTACAGATTTAGCAAATGCCAACAGATTTCTGGCGGTTTTTTTTAATTTTATATTAATTTTTGGTTTCAAAAGCACTAAAGGAATGTCTGGTTTCTAACAAATAAAACTCAACGCGACTAATGATGCAAAATTTGTTGGAAGTCTGTCAGAGGAATGTTTTTGGAAGAAATTTTTTCATATTTTTTTAACTTTGCTGAACTTATTTGATATACCGTTAACATATGAATTTAATTATGTATTTCCTGTTAAGGTGTTGAGAGCGATTTATACACCTCGACTATTCGTTCTTTGGTTTTGAGCTTCGGCTCTGGTCTTGAGGGTCATTTATTTGGATCTCCAAAACTGATCTTAAAACAAATGGACACTGTAGGCGATTTGTTAGAATTTATTTCCGAAAGGCGCCTGGGAACCCTGGCGGAGAGCGAAGAGGATTCAATTACTTTTATGGATTTGCCCAGGGAACTAGTTCTAATGATTTTAAGGTTGGTCTTTGATTTTGACTTTCTGCTTTTGACTTTCTTATGGTTTGCAGTATCACGCTTCCTGTTAAGTAAATTTCGTTGAGTTTTTTTTGTGGTGTAGTTAAAAAAAAAAA